GGCAGGGGTGGAGGTGTTCAAAAAAGGAGCTGCCCCAGAGGAAGCTGCCTGCAGGAATTGGTGGGGGTACTTTCGATACTCTCTAGGGACCAGAGCTGCACCCATCAGTCTCCTGAGAACCATAATGTCCAGCAAGCCTCAAGACAGACATCCAAGTGGCCATGCTGGAAAGGAGGTGTCCTCCTCCTGGGGCCCAGCTGGCAGCCCCCATCTCCCTTGCTGCCCACACTGCCCAGTCTCTCCTGAACCTTGCTTCAGTCTGCAGAGCTTGGGGCTTTGTCCTCCTGTCTCCCCACTGCCAACCTCTCAGTCCTCAATGTTGATGTTCATAAACAATTACCTTCATTTGACACTGCAGGGGGGAAAATGTCCTTTCACAATTGCTGTGGTTCAGGTAGAGCCAGCATGACTTGATGTAGCATCTTGGTGAGTCTCCTAGAAGTTGGTAAATAATAATCATTGCCATGTGACTGTGTGACAAATCGCTATGATTATGAGTTATTTTCTAATAACTCCCTATGTAATACCAAATGTTTCATGAAGCTGGGGGCCTTGTGAAGGGGACTCTGAGATTGCGCATCCTGAGGCTGAGCCAGAGAGGGTGTGTGTACCTGGCAGCCGTCCCCAGCTAGGACCCTGCTCTCTGCAATCAGGCAGCTGGAACAGAGGACAGACTAGCAGATGACGGCGGTGGTCCCCGGGACGTTCCCCCCCACACACCCCAGACACCCCCAGATTCAAATGAGGATTTTGAAAGCAGCCGAGTAAGAGGGGGCTTTGGGTTCCCGGGCGGCAGGTTGTGCAGAGGGTCGGCTGCCCCAGGAGAGGTGGAAGGAAGAACACCCACCAGATCCCATCTGGACTGCCCTGGGCTGAGCACTGGAGGGTCATGGGAGCACAGATGAGGCTAAAGTGAGCTAGAGCCTAGATGACATCATGAACTGGGTGTTCTTGGCCCAAGTCCCGGGACCTGAGCCCAGGAAGCACTCCAGGATGGAAGCAGGGCCACTGCATGCTGTCCTTGGAGGGAATGGACTTAGAGAGTGTGGGCTGGTGCTTGATCCAGGCCATCATGGACTGCTGGGGTGTAGCACTCACAGTGCCCCACACACCACCACAAGGGTCCTTCAGGGAGGCATTTCCAGGATGCAAGTTCTCTGCATCGTGTCTGGGCTGACCCACATCACCCAGGTCCCCAGCAGTTGTGGCCAGGGTGGGGCGTACCAGACAGGAGAGCCTGTGACCATTAGCAGGAAGATCTGATGTTCTGTAGATGACCTGAGCCTGCCCCCGACAGGCTGCTGTGAGGCATCTCAGCCATGGTGCTGCTTCTCTGAGAAGCCCCCGTCCCCCAGGCATGACAAAGCCTGCTCTAAACTCCAGGCTCCTTGGCAAGGGGTTGACTTCCTGCCTGGCTCTCACCTGCCCTCTTCTGTGGCAGATGTCACTGGCAGCTGCCCTAGGGCTCTTCATGAGCAAGTATGGGGTGTGACACCAAGGGACACCCACAAGACAGCATCCGGGGGCAAAGTCACATTTACCTAGCACTCAGATGAAGGGTCTGCCCAAAGACCCCTTCAGATACTCATGCTGTGGGGAGGCAGTGAGAGTCCTTAGACCCGGTGGGTGGGTGTTTTGAACTGCTGGCCTGCTGTGTGCCTGACGTCCAGCCTGCCCAGGGGAGTGAGCCTGCAGGACAACGTTGGACCACCCAGCCGGCTGGGAGAGAAGGGGAGCAGACCGGACAAGTGAATGGGAGAGCAGGCCATGCCTGAACCCCAGAGCAGCCTTCGGTGGCCATAGTTCCAACACTCACCTCCAGGTAGAAACTTTATCCTTACACCCTCTGTCTTAGAGCCCACTGCTCCTCATCTCCATTTCAGGATAGATGGCGATCCGATGGGGTTGGGAAAGGACACATGGGCTGGTCCAGTATCTGAGGCTCTCAGTCTTCTCTTCTGTAAAATGGGGAAGATAAAACAGTACAACCTCTGTGCCTTGATGTGAGATTGTACTCATTTCCTAGGACTGCCTACCAAGGTACCACAAAGCAGATGTGGGGGGGATTTCTTCTCTCACATTTATGGATGCTCACAGTCCACAATCAAGGTGTTGGTAGGGCCATGTTCCCTGTGAAGGCTCTGGAGGAGGTTCTATTCTTGCTTCTTCCAGCATCTGGTGTCCCCAGGTTTTCCTTGGCTTGTGGTCACATCACCCTAGTCTCTTCCTTTTCACATGGCTGTTTTCCCTCTGTACATGTGTATGTCCAACTTTCCCTCTTCTTATGAGGACTCCAGTCAGATTCATTATGGCCCATTCTAATGACCTCACCTGAACTCGAGTACATCTGCAAAGATCCTATGTCCAAATAAGGTCACCTTCCCTGGTCCTGGGGATTAGTAGTTCAGCATAATTTTAGGGGGAGTATAATTCAAACCCTAACAAAGATTATACAAGGTGTCATCTGTATATAAAATGACTGGCTCAAAGTAGGTAGTCAGTAAGAAGGAGCTATTATTACTAAGCATCTAAGATGTACATTCTTCCCCACATTTTAATGTTGTTGAATCAGTCCACATGTAAATTAATTGATGCAGTGTTTTTTTCTTTGCCAATCAGTTATTAAATGGATGGCCCATCTCAAATGGATGGCCATGTGCAAACATGGTATAACTTATTCTATAACAAGACTCAAAAACCCTCAGCATCTCAATGACCTGGAGAATGTGGTAGGAAAAAGGGAGAGTGGGAGTCAGTCCATAGATCATGCCTGCAGCTACTACTAATTGAGGAATAACAGATCATTGTTCTGGCAGATGTTGGGGGCCCAGTATGAGGTATGGGGAAGGAGGCCTGCTTGCTTGAAGGGATTTTGGGATGGCCTGACTCCTGCATTCATTTCATGAGCACTCCCTGAGCAGGCTTCCTGAGCTGAGTCCCCACTGCCCATAAGCCTAGGGTTACAAGTAGGCCAGGGCAGGGGAGTGTGCTGTACATCGAGCCAGAGAAAACAATCATTTTAGGAGGCCACAGGATCCCAGGCTAGACTGGAGACTGAGACAAAGCAATCTACTTGTATTAGAAGTGTATGGAACAACCTCACTGAGATGTTGTTTCACATTGCCTGGTTCCATATGCTGTGTTTACACACAGAAGCTAGCACAGCCTCTATTGAGTCCTGTTCTGGTCGAGGGGTCAGTCTGGGGAAAACATTTTTGCGATGAGCTCTCAGAGCCCAGACTAGAGGCCTACCTGAAGGGAGGGTGTTCCAGGGACTCCACAGAGAATGAACATAGAGGACATTTTTCTCCTGAAGGGTCCACCTGCCTCCACGGCTGACTGTGCCTTTGCAAGAAGGCACTTCTGCCTGCAATCCCCTTTCTTCTCTTCCTGGCTGGAAATCTTCTGTGTCCTTTCAGGTTCAGCTCAGCGGTTCTCCTGTCCTGGAAGCTTATCACATACAACACTATGTGTTAGCAGTGCTTCTCACAACATCTGACACAAAGTGGACGCTTCAGAAAAGACATTAGCTGAGGGTGACAGAGGAGCAAAGAAGGTTGCAGGCTGCCCCAGCCAAAAGGGCGCATCAGAAGACATGGGGAAGAAGGGGGCATCTTGTTAGTAAGGGCAGAGGGTCCCAGAGAAAAGTGAACAGAAAGCCAATGTGGAAGCACAAAGGACAAAAGCCAAGCAGTGAGTGGAGACACAGGAATGAGAATAGGACAGGGCTGAGGAGAGAAGGGAATTGTGTGGGCAGCTGGTTGGTGACCTCTCACAGGCACGTTTCTTCCTGTCTGCCCAAGAGGCCTGGCCACGTGTACTTGACCTGGGCTTGCCAGGCACATCTCACTGGAGGAGGGGGTCCCAGGAGCCTCCTCCCCACCTGGGAAGCCTTCCTGGAGCCCCTGGTGACAGAAGAGGTCAAGGGGGGATAACACAGGGACACCATGGTGGCTCTGTGGGCCCAGACACAGCCTGCCCACTCCACTTCCCGACAGGAAATAGTCCCTGCTCCCTTTGCTGGGAAGCTTGCTCCAGAAAGGATGCTGACCCACTTGTCCTCAGGGACACCTCCATGATGAAGAGGGGCTCTTTTGGGGGCTCTTGAAGAAGACCAGGGGAAGTTGCAAATCCAAGCAGAACCGTACATATTACCTTCTTGGTCTCTTCCATTGCTCTCAGCCTCCACCCCAAGTTCCTCAAGCCCCCAGATCCAGCTATGTCTAGACTCCAACCATCTCCCAGGGAGAGCTCAGGAACAGAAAGACTACACACTTACCCAGGCAACTTAAAGTAGCCAGAAACAAAGGGCCCTCTCAGGAAGCAAGGGGTGCATTTTGCAAGTGGAGTCCCCAGTGATTTCTAATTGGTAGAATTCAGGGTATGGACTTCGGGGAACTTAGAGTGGAGAATTTCGGGATGAGAGAGGGTCAGACTTCAGCCAGCACCTTGAGTCTCCTGGCTGAAGAAGTTGCCAAGCTGGTCCCCCAGGAAGTTTAGTAGGCCTGCTGGCTTTTGCCCCGGATTGGATCCCAGCTGTCCCTCCTTCCACTGGAGCAATGGTGAAGCTGGTCTGAATCTTCTAATTCTGTGCTCTCCCCACCCTGCTGCAGCCCAGGGGAGGAGCCCCAGTGGTGTGAGAGTTGGGCCACAGCCACTTCTTTCCCCTAACCCAGGTCTTCCATGACCAAAGTGTCTGAATGTACCAGGATTCTCTCCTTCACATCCCTGCTCTTCAGAAGCCTGCCCTCCACCCCATCACATTGGAGCCAATGTGAATGTTGAATTGGACAAGCCACCAACTTATCAGAAGGGTATTACAAATCCAAGGTAGTCTTCAAAACCATGGTCCAGAAATACACTGATGCTTCTGGGACACTGTAACATGTACCCACTCCAAAGCCACATGGGTATGCTTTCTGGCTTGTTTGGGGTCATGCTTTTTCAATCCTGAGCCATTTCATGCCTTTGTATAAGGAATGTTGAGAGTCTGTAGTAAGATGGCCCTGAAATTTGGTGGCAAGTCAAAGTTTGCTATGGAAGATGACGAGGGCATCAACCTGTGTATGTCCCAGAGTCTTTCCTCAGTGGGTCACTCATGGGTCTGTACACGCAAGGCAGTGCAGCTTTGGGCCTTTGCTCGGGGTGGGACACTGAATGAGGGATCTGAGATTGGCAGCAGATGGGCAGCAGGGTCTTTTGCACTTGCTGGAGAGAGGACAAGAGGGACACCTGGATATTCTGATGTTTTTTAAAGAATTTATTTATTTATTTGACACAGAGAGAGAGCGAGCACAAGCAGGGGGAGCAGCAGGCAGAGGGAGAGGGAGAAGCAGGCTCCCCACTGAGCAGGGAGCCCAACGTGGGACTCAATTCCAGGATCCATGACCTGAGCCGAAAGCAGGTGCCCCTGGATGTTCTGATTTTTATTTCCATGAGAGCACCAGTAGAGTACAGGGCTGGGCCTCCAGTGAAGCTGCAGCAGTCCAGATACATCCACTTCATGAAGATTGGTGATATGAGGCCTTGCGGTAGTCCAGTTCTTCTCTTATATTCCCATGGGCTTATAAGCTCCCCTTGGCAATTTGGCTTGTCAGAGCAAAAGACTACATTGACAACTGGTTTGTATATTAGTGTTCTGTTCCCTGGGCTGGGCAGCCCTCACAACCTGGGCATGTCTGGGGGACTGTGAGCGGCAGAGCAGTGGGTCAGCTGGGACTCCCTGGGACCTCACCAAAGTAGTGCCTGCCATCAAGACTTTGGACTCTGAGCAGCCTGCCTGGTCTCGGTCGGTGAAGTTTTTGAAAGAGCAACAGTACCTGTTGTTGAAATATCTTAACTGACAAACCATCTCAGTCTTAATGCCTGTTAATGGGGAGGTCACCAGTAATTAAGATGGTGCTGGCCAATCTGGCCACCGGCAAGTACCTCTTCTTCACAGAGCGCGGGCTGCAGTTTCAGCAGGACCCCTAGTTGCCTCTTTCTCCTGTCCCTCTATTAGCTGGATAGCTCAGGGCACATCAGACAAGATTCTCTTTGTCTCAGCTTTCTCTTCTGTATTTAAATGTTCATTGGGAACCTCCTCAGGGGTAGACACTGGACTCTACCCAGAGGATGGGCAAGGGAACTGGACCAAAAACTCTGGGACTGGGTTCTGGTGCTTCAGTGGCTGACAAACCTGATTCAGGTTACTCATCCTTAAAAGCAGCTCCTATAATAATATCCATTCTCCAGTGGGTTTGGGAAGCCTAATTACCACTTGTGAAATGTTTTCAATTTCTCAGAAGAAAGGTGATATATCACGGCAAGGTATGACTATCATAATTGTGATCTTCTCAAGCTGCCCCCAGGGCTAACTCATATAAAAACTGCCATTCGTGAAACTCTGTTATTGTAACAAAGTACAACTATTATCCATAATGATACTAGACTAATGTCTAAGGTATTGCTGTGCTCATGGAAAAGTCTTAAATAAGCCGGAAGTGAAGAAGGTAGGCTAGGTCACCTGCTGTGAACTTATACAGCTAATTCCAAAAGTAAATAGACTTTTAAGGAGGTAGAAACCGGAAAGAGCACCAGAGAGCAAGAGCATTCTCTGAGCACTTGGTGTGAACCAAACAGTGTTATGCATACTATCTTATCCAAGTTTAGGAAGTCGGTTTTATCATCTCCATTTTGCAGAGGAGAAAAATTGAGGCCAAAGATGTTGACTTGTCCAAGGGAGATGAACCTAGCAGTTATAAATAGGATGGTTTGGAGTGGAGGATGAGGCCAGGTGAGAAGTGACCCCAAAGTCTAAGCAGGGGCCAAGGAATCTCTGAACTAGGTTAGCAAATGGGAGGATGACTACCAGATTTCCAGTTTGGCATGCGCCCGTAAATAGGTCTGCTGCCAACGGAGAGGGCAACCCAGGAGGGGAAGGCGGTTAGGAGGAAAGATGACTGTGGCGCAGGGTAACCTGAGTGTGGGACCGCCAGCATGTATCCATATGCTGGCCTGGGCCTTGGGAGGGAAATTGAGATGCAGACTTGGGAGTCACCGACAGATATAACAGGTGAAGCCTGGGATGAGAACGCCAAAATGCAACGAGTCACCGTGGCCACTATCCTCCTTCCCGCCCAGGCTCAGGGGAAACTTCCCGAAGGCAGCGCGGGCTAAGGTGACAGGTGTCTGCGAAGACCTCCCCGTGGGATTCCTGGGTGGCGCGCTCCCTTCCCGCAGGCCTGCGCCGAGTGGGCTTCCCCGCTCGGCTCTCCGCCGCCTCCCCCAGGCTCCCCGTCTCTCCCAGCCTCCACGCACTCCCCGCCGTCCCCAGGGCCGCGGCCTCCGGGCGCCGCCAGCCAGAAAGGCGGTGTCGCACGCGGCTCGCGGCGCTTCCCG